ACCTTTTAAGGCCACCGTGAAACGTATCAATCTCCTTCATCACAATCAATGAACAATTTAATCAAATTTTTGCTAAGAAAATCAACTGGATGACTCCCAGTTGAGTTTAATTTTCTGATAAAATCAACAATATATTGGAAGTCATCAAGCCCCTAGACTTTAATATTCACTTATCCTTAAGCAAAAGAAAATTAATATGCACAACATTGTAGAGTCAGATACAATTTAGACTTTCAAAAACTTGGTCTAACAAAATTTTTTCCCCACCTTCTAAAAAATTTAAGTAGTAAGCTAACTAATTAATCAATGATAAATTATAATAAATTGTCCTTTACCAGTTAAGCATTTGCACTTTACTTCCAATGTATTTAAAGGTTTATGTTTCACTCAATTATATTTCACCTATTGCAACCCATTTATTATAAGCTTGTTGTTCATCTTAATCTCCATTAAATTATGCCATTGCAAACACAAATCAATACTAAAATGAAATTATTCAATGGAAACATCACATACTCTAGTCAGTGATAATTAAGCACATTAAATAAAGAGCATGAAAGCTAATGAAAGATCATTCCCCAAAGAGACATATTCACCAAAACTATGTAAAAAAGACAACTATAAGGATCAACACTTATTCCACTAGTATTATTTTTTTAATATTTTCTTCACTCTTTTTATTTTCTCTCTTTTTTTATCTTTTTTTTTTTTTAAATTTCCTCCATCCTTCATCATTTAGTTACTTACTGATGTTTCCAGCATTGATGATTCAATAGTCACTCAATAGCTAGTCAAAGTGGTTGATTAAAATGATGTTGTCGTCTTTTATATGAGCAAGAAATAACATTAGTCTCTGGATATTTATTTATAATTTAGAAAATTAACCAGTACTAATTTTCTAATAAGGTCTTTTTTGTAATTTCATGGGTCCTTCTCTATAATTAATACCAAATTAATGAATATTTAATGGAGGTGTGACATTGCTTTGTTTTTAATACATGTGGGACAACATTGTGCCACCCTTCACTTGAGAGTTTCCACCGCACCTGAACATTTAACAAGTTGATTGGTCAGTTAGAAGTTTAATCCTTTATTAAAGTATTTCAAGTTCCATTAAAAGATTTTAAATAATTTAAAAAATAAATTATTTTTTTAACTAATTTAGTAAATAATTTAATAAATAATTTTTTAACTAATTCCAATTTCCTCTGATGTATATCAAACATATGGAAAATATTACTCAAGTCATTTGCACTAAGAAATGTCAATGAACCCCACGCGTCTTGCAGAGTCGTGTGTCCCCATCACACTCAAGTCATCTGCATTTGTACAGAACAATGTTTGCCACACAGAAGACAGACAAGGACTTCAATTTAAGCCAGTCCTACATGCGTAGTTGTTTGTCTTAATTTCTGAGGTTGTAGTTGAGTTTTGTTGACTGGGTCAACTCGTGGTTGCTTGGGCCAACACATTTCTATACTTACCTAGTTAAATATGCTTAAAATCTGACTGATCTATCAGGAGGGTTAATTAATCGACTAACTCATAATCAGTTACCAAAAAGAAGGAATCAGGCGGATCGAAAATATCACCCAGATTTACCGTTATTTGATCTAAGTGACATAGTTGAAGTATCAAGCAATTTCTCATATGCTAACAAGCTTGGACAAAGGGGTTTTGGTTCTGTTCCTAAGGTAGCCTTTCTTTTACAAGGAAAAAGAGACCATGACGGAGTTTACTTATGTTAGAAGTTGTCTCCATGTTGGGGAATAACTCAATTCTTCCTCCCCCTAAACAATTCAGCATTTGTTTTCAAGAGAACTACTTGTGATCATTCAAATCCTTCTACTGGTGAAGAAGTCAATTCAATAAATGGAATGAGTACTATAGTGATTGAAGCTCGTTGAAGTCCATAATTGATTCAACATATGTGAATGATAATGATGATATGTCTTTTACTATTATTGAATTCATGAAGTAAAGATGCGTGTAAAATTTGCTAAATTATAATTTAGCATAGATGGCAGTACTGGTAATAATCAATTATATTACTTCCAAATTAGATTCTATCTTCTAGTGACATTTTGTTTGGGTACATATATGGAATAACATGTGAAGATTCTTTTATGTGGAAATCAATTATATTGTTTCATTTATGCTTTTAACTCGTATGTGTGGATTTCCATTGGTCTCAGAATATTCAAAGATATATAATTTTATATGATTTAATTAACATAAATGGGTGGGATTATGATGTTGCATATGTTAAAATTACTCTGTCACTATTATAGAATTACACATATTAGATGCCCTAAAATATAAGAGTTATTAATAAAACCTATGATATAAAGGGGAGGCAGAGGATGGTTACACAAAATAAGACGACACACCTGTCATATATTTAATTTTCAATTTTCAATATAAACCCCGTCATATTTTGAAATCTTTCGCTCAATATAAAAAATAATAGTAAATATGATGAGTATTTTAAACATAATATTTGTAACAACCGTCATATTAATACAACGTTTGAAACACCTATCATTTATGGTCATTTAAATGATTCTATAACGTTTCAGTTTTGAAGGCTACTGTGATAGAAGCTCGTTGAAGTCTATAATTCTGAAAACATATATGGTACTTTGAAGATTTATCGATTATCCTAAAATCTAGAAAGGGTAATAAGGTAACAGATTAGATTGTTGAGGCTCGTGGAAAGGGACTGTGCCCAATAGGCTCGGTGGAAGTACTAACGCCCCCTCTAGTTCTGATGTTACTAAATTATACTATAGAAAGTAGAACTGGCAATAAAGATTATAGGAAAAGTTCAGAAAGAAGTGGCATTGGTGGTTGATGGATCTATTTACTGGAATAGGTCTGTTGTATTTTGTTTTGTGTTGATATTTGGTTTTGAAGGTTGTATGATCAGGATTTGTTTTGTGTGAGAGGCTTGCTGTGTTAGGTTGAAATACATAGGTTTGTGTTTGTGTTTTTAATTTTGGCTCGCTATTAGTGGTTGTAATTTTTTTTTTTGTATTAATAAAAATGACTTGTTTTGGCTCAAGAAAATCCAGTTGTGTTTTTAATTACGTTTTACATTAGTTATTTTTGACATTCTTCGGTTCTGCTGTATACAGTTTCTTTTTGACCTAAGCTATGTGACATTAAAAGGGTTTTTTCTACTAATGCTAGTTAGTGTTCAATATCAATAAATTCCCAAAGATTACAACTCTAAAAATTTAGATAAACATGAGCTTGGTGGCTTTTAGTATTATAACTCTCAACATAACCTTTCATAAAAATTCTTAAATTTATAAGAACATGACTTTTTAAAAGACATATTTATATTTTAAAATATTCCAACAATTTTTAATTTCCACTCACGGTATAGTTCTTATTACCACTCTATTTTCCTTCTCTTACTCCTTTAATTATGTGCTAATATTTCATTAAATATATTTTTAAGATTTTTTTAATAAGTCAATATATACAAGATTAATTATCAAATATCTCAAATATGAAACCTATATACTGGTATATATAATACTTTTATAGAGAAACTAGGTTGTTTCTCCACTTCAATTTTTACATTTATTTCTCTGCTAAAAATTAATAATTTTTCTTTTTAAAAAAAGCTAAGACACATTTATCTAACTTTTTATATGACACACATAGGTAGAATATATAGACGTGGGAATATAGGTCAACCAAGACTATATGAATTGGGGAAAAAGAGGATTGAGTTGGGTTAATCTCATTTATATACAGGTTAAAAAACCTAACTCAAATTATGTGGATTTGTGGGTTAAATATGTTAACCTATCAATTTCTATATAAATTTTTCCCTCTTTTAAAATAATTTGTTTATATGTGATACACGATAATACATACAACGTAAAAATATAATTATCCATCATAATCTGTGATCAATACAATCCACAATAAATACAAATCATGTCATATCTATAAAACTTCACAAGTTAAAGGTGAGGAGTGGATGAGGATCTCGAGCCTTAAAGATAGAGTAGCTGAACACAGGGAGGGGGAGGTTAAAAAACCTAATAAATTTCTTTTTAATTTTTTTAATTTTTTGTTTCTTTCTTTATTTTAGTGAGTGAACTTCAAACTTTTCCTCTTTCCCCCCAAACATTTTTTCCCTAACATGAAGTAACTGAGCCAACCCTAATTCATATGGGTTTGCCCATTTAAATCAAGGCGTAAAATGGTTAGATTAAAAAAAAAATCTTGTTTATATTTGAGTCATTTTTTTTTACAACTCAACTCGACAGATAACAAGTTATTCAATTTAATTAACTCATAATTAACCGAATTCATATTCACGCACACCTCTACATACTAGGTATTGGTCGACTAATTGAGTATATTTAAAAGAAAATTAAATAAGGATAATAATATAATGTGATAACATGTGTGTGTGTGTGGGGCATGATAAAAGACTCATAATAGATAACCATAAAATAAAATTCAATAACTTCACCTGTTGTTTCTCTCCTTTATTATATGAATAAGGATTCTCAATGCTAGTAAAATCTCCTTATAGTCACTATATATATATATATATTCTAATAAATTAGCCTTTGAAAGTTTATTTATATTTTTTATTTTGGCCTAAACAATGCAAGGATTTTTTGCGAAAGTTTCATGAAACCTCAACATAATCACTTAAAAAGATAGACCACGAAGACTATAAAGTAAACCAGTCTACACGTTTTCTAGTTGTGTGTCTCTATCACATTCTATCTGCCACTTGCTCGACCACTTTGTTAAAATTAAGGGTCATAAAGACCTCAACTGTCAGGAACAAAAAATATCTATCTTCTTTTCATCCAACTAACTAACAGGCTACGCAAGTTGGTCACGTGGCCTCATCTGTATTGTTCTCTCACGCATTACATATATATCTTTAGAACCTCATCTATGTTGATTATATCAAAAAAATAGTCCAACAACATAACATCATGAAGGTGTCTTCTGTTCGAGCGTTCGTACAAATCACGAGTCTGTTGTTTCTTCTCTCCCGCTTTCATTCTTATAGTCACACTCTTCATAGAATACCCCAAGCCAACCCCTCAAAGATGGCGACGTTTTGCTTTCTGATGGAGCAACCTTTGCCATGGGATTCTTCAGCCCCAGCAACAATTCTAGAAACCGATATGTTGGAATATGGTTTAACAAACTCTCTAAATACACCGTTGTGTGGGTAGCCAATAGAGAAAATCCTCTGAATGATACTTCTGGAGTTTTGTCTATCAATAACCATTGAAACATGGTTCTTGTTCTCAACAACATTAATTCAAAACTCAACAACCCTCTTTGGTCTTCCGATGTTTTGATCAAAACTCACAATAATGACACCTTTGCTCAGCTTCTCGACACAGGAAATCTAGTTTTACTTGAAATGGAGGAAAGAATCAGAAAGTTCTATGGCAGAGTTTCGATTATGGCAGTGGCACAATTCTTCCATTTATGAAAATTGGGTTTGATCGAAAAACTGGTTTCAATAGGGTCATTACATCATGGAGATCCCATGATGATCCTAGTATTGGGAACATGAGCTTCAGCATCGACCCACCAGGCTATCCTCAACTGTTCACATATGAAAACGGAGCTCCATTTTGGCGATGGGGATCTTGGACGGGTCAAAGATGGAGTGGGATACCACATATGACACCCAATTTTGTGTTCAACATTAGTTATGTTGATGATGCTAATCAAGTTTCCATAACAGTTAGTGTCCTAGACCCTTCAGTGTTCTTCAGAATGGTGATGGACAACACTGGTCACTTTTCACGAACAATTTGGCAAGCTAAAGAGCAAAGATGGCTTGAAATTTGGTCTGGTCCAACAGATGACTGTGACAACTACAGAAAGTGTGGATCAAACAGCATCTGTGATGTGTATAATAATAAAAACAGCACATTCGAGTGTGTATGTTTGCCAGGATTTGAACCCAGGAACTCGCGAGAGTGGTCTGATGGGAACGGATCGGGTGGGTGTGTGAGGAAGAAGAATGTGTCCACGTGTCAAAACGGCGAGGGGTTTGTGAAGTTAGCACCTGTGAAGGTTCCAGATACGTCAAAGGCACGTGCGGATAAGAGTAAGAGCTTGAGCTTGGAAGGGTGTGAAGAGAAGTGCCTAAGGGATTGTTCGTGTGTAGCTTACACAAGTGCCAACGAGGTCAAGCAAAGTGGGTGCATAACATGGTATGCTGATATGGAAGATATCAGGACATTCAACAATGTGGGACAAGAATTGTACGTACGTGTGGATGCGACTGAACTAGGTACATATATATTCTCTATCTCATAATACTTGAAGATGTAATTTTTGAACGTAAAAATAAAGCTAGTAATTTAGGTCAAATCTTACACGTCAATTTGGATAAGGTCAAAAAATCTTAGAATTGGGTTTGCAAATTTAAAAAATTTTCTTTACTTCAAGTTTATTTGGGCCCACCAAATAAGCCTCGAAGAAATCTAAATCAAGCTCAAACTTAAATGGACTTAGCCCAAATATCCAAATTCTTTTTTGTTTTTAAAAGATAAAATTAAAATTACTAACAAAGGTTGATCTAGTTTATAAGAATTTAGCTTACAACTTCATGAGATCAAATCTCACTACCAATACGAGGATTTTGTTGGTGGGTTATTTGTAAGTACCTCTAAAGTACAATTTGAGTATGGAAGCATGCCCTGATGCTAGTGAGCAATTCTAAAGAAAATTCTGACAATGTGCAGGTATTTTTGCTTTTGTGTCTTGGAATCGAAAACACCTTTTCCTTGTTTCCTTTCTCTTTCTTGTTGTAATTTTCTTCATGCCCCACCTATCAACAATTAATAAATATGGGTGAAATATTTACTTCAATTTTCATCATTTTAAATAATTTCCTAAAAAATATTACAATGAATCCATAATGCTTCTCTTTTCCATTAATGACTCCTAAAATATAACAAAAAATATGTCAATTATAACAAAAAAATAGGGAGTTATCAGTGAGCTCTCGGGATTCAACTTACCTAAACTTTTTTTTATCAAAATAAAATAAAATTAAAATTAGATAAAAATGTAAAATATTAATTTTTCAAGATAAAAATTTAAATGACTGAAAAAGAAAAAATAAAATAATATTTAATAATTTGAGTATTCGGATTATCTTGAATAAGCCCGAAAGCCTAATGCCTTAAGGTTGGGCTTGGCTATATATGAGTATTTTAATATATTTAAATATTTTAAGCTCGATCCAAATAAACTTAGCCTACTTGGATTATTGACTTCATGCAAAAATACATGAATATACATTAATTAACATGTCTCTTGCATTACCTAAATTTTCAGATTGATTATAATGAATAAATAGCATGACATTAAATTTTTATATCACAGATAGATTCTTTAATTGAAAAGTAAAGTGGATCAAAACAAATGTGCCCGCATAAAAATTCTTTACTTTGGAGGCATATTTTTTGGTGAATTCTGCGTTGACATATTAATATCTCTGCAGCTAAATATGAAAAAAGGCCTTATGGCTTACTTGGCAAGAGGGGGATTGTGACACTTATAGTTGTTTCTCCCTGCCTAACAATGTTCATGGTCATCTCTCTTGTGTTTTGTTTGGCAAAGAACAAGGAACAAGGTAAGATAAATTTCTATCAAAATTTTCACAAAATGAAGTTCTATATAAATTCAATGCAATCGCCCTGCAAATAAACTTTATTACTCAAAGTACCATATTCTTATTTTCATTACAATCTATGTCAAAAGGCCGTTTATAATCCTTTGCTTTTTTTAAAAAAATTTATTCTTGTGGATTGTGATTGTTATATTGTATTACAATTCATCCCTGTCGTTGTTTATCATGCAGCACAAACAAGAATTAAGGAACATTTGCTTGATGGAGAAAACAGTGAAGATTTACCTTTATTTGATCTGAGTGACATAGTTGAAGCAACAAACAATTTCTCGGATGCTAACAAGCTTGGGCAAGGGGGTTTTGGTTCTGTTCATAAGGTACCATTCTTAGTAACTAGCCTGAAATATTGTAAGTTAATAGAGCAAAACGGATGATATAGTGGGGGGTTTTTTCCTAACGGTAATTTTTTTTCTCAACAAATGTTGAGTATATACATTCACAAATTGATTATGAATTTGGCTTCAGGGTCTACTTGGTTGTGGAACAACAATAGCAGTGAAGAGGTTGTTAAAGTATTCTGGACAAGGTGTTGAAGAGTTCAAAAATGAGATCGTTCTGATTGCAAAGCTCCAACATAGAAATCCTGTCAGGATCTTAGGATGTTGCATCCAAGGAGAAGAGAAGATGTTGATCTATGAATATTTACCAAACAAAAGCTTAGACTCTTTCATTTTCGGTATGTCTTCTTTTCATTTTGTTCACAAGTTATAATGAAATTTTCATGATTTTAAAGAGACAAATTGATCAAGTATTCTCACTTCTAATATTATAAAATTATTGTTCAGATGATGCAAAAAAATTACAGTTAAACTGGAGAAAACGAATCAATATCATTTGTGGAATTGTAAGAGGAATCTTATACCTTCATTAAAATTCAAGATTATGAATAATTCATAGAGATCAAATGGCTAGCAATGTCTTGCTAGAATCTACGTTGAACCCAAAAATTACAAATTTTGGCATGGCTAGAATATTTAGTGGAGACCAAATTGAAGCAAGTACAAACCGTGTTGTTAGAACCTAGTAAGTACTCGACATTGCAACACATGACTAAAGTGTCTGAGCATTATATTACATGGATTCCCAATTTTCACAACCACACATAAAAATGGTAAAAAATTAAACAATCAAGTTGTTCAATTAAGTAGATGTAAATACTTTTGACATCATCAATATCAATATCTATATCTATGTAGTGTATATTTTGTTACTTGCAAATCCATTATTTGTAATAAAATAGCATCTCTACTGACTTAGATATATAGGTTAATATGCTAGAAATATCAATACATTAAACTACATATTTTAAGTTAACAATTATATTTAAATATTTTGAGTTGAAATGACTGGGTGTCCATTTATAACTTTTGAAAATCTTTATTTACAGTGGTTACATGTCACCTGAATATGCAATGGAAGGATTGTTTTCAATAAAGTCAAATGTATATAGCTTTGGGGTTTTACTTCTTGAGATTGTTACAAGCAGAAAGAATAGTGGTCATTATGATGACATCCCTTCTACTTTGGTTGGACATGTAAGTATCAATTATAAGGACCAACCACTATGAATTCAAGCTTTCTCCTCAATAGTCTAATTAATTATCTAATGCCTACGATTTATTCAGATTTGGGATCTTTGGAGAGAAAGAAGAGCTATGAAGATTGTAGATCCATCATTAAATAATGAGCCATGCCATGAACATGAATTTCTAAAATGCATCCAGATCGGACTGTTATGCGTACAAGAACATGCATCAGATAGGCCAACTATGTTAGAAGTTGTTTCCATGTTGGACAATGACTCAGCTCTTCCTCCCCCTAAACAACCAGCTTTTGTTGTCAAGAGAACTACTTGTGATCATTCAAATCCATCAATTGGTCAAGAAGTTTATTCAATAAATGGAATGAGCACAACTGCGATTGAAGCTTGTTGATGTCAAGTTCTTAGAACATATATGGTACTTGCATGTTCTTATATGGTGTTGCCACTTTCGAAGTGAGTGCTTCTAATGAGACTTTTCAACGCCTGTGAATGATAATGAAGCATATATCTTTTACTATTATTAATTCATGAAGTAAAGATGCGTGTAAAATTTGCTAAATCATGTATAATTAAGCCTGGATGGAATTATTGGTAATTAATTATTTCATTTGCAAATTAGATTTTATCTATTAGTAACATTTTGTTTTGGATTTATATATGCAATAACATCTGAAGATTCTTGTGTGTGTTGATCAATTGTTTCATTGATGTTTTAAACTCGTATATGTGTATTTTTATTAATATATATTAATAGGGGTTATGATGTTGTATAAGTTAAAATTGTCTTCACTTTTCTCCTTTTGATTTTCCCAAGTGATCTTTCTATGCTCTGTTATATTAACACCGATCCTACAAAAGTTAAAAATTTTTGGGGCATTAATTAAATCCAAGCTCAAAGAGCACCACCAAGATTCTTATATTGATAATGAAATTTGATCCCATAATTTTATAGGTAATAAGTCAAATTATTATCAATTGGACAAACATTTATTGGTTATATGCATAGCCTTTCATTTCAACTTTACTTACTATATGCTAAATGTCATGGTGTAATGATTTTAAACTTTAAATTGAATAAAATTTTCTTTCAATAAATATTTTATTTAAATAAATTTTATAGCAAGTAGAAATTAATAGTTTAGAGAAATTTAAGCAAGAAACTTTTTTGAGAATTTAAAGTTCAAATTTTTTCAAGCAAGAGTTTGATTTTAAATTATAGAAAAATTTTGTTATCTTTTTCGTAATAGTTTTGTGCCCTTTTTGTGATTTTCTCGTGCTCTTGTGATTTTTCCAAAAGCTTCTTGAATCAGATTTTAACTCTGCGTGTAACACAGCATTCCTTTCATTTTTTTTCCCTCACCGCCATTAGAACTTCACAGAACAAGCGAGACACATTTTTTTCCCCTTTCTGCACCAATTCTTCAGCTTTCCCTCTCTTCTCGATCATGTTCCTTCGCTGAGCCTCATCATCTGCAATTTCATGGCCGCCTCACGGCAAAGCGACCACTCCGTTCTCCTCCGTAGCAGCTCGGCAAACCTCCGTTCTCCTCTGTTTGACGCGCTCGACGACTTGGAGGAGGCTAGGAGTTGCCTCTTCTTCTTCGCGTCTGCATGTGAGAGTAGTTGAAATCCTCCATTGTCACCAGCAGCGTCACTTGCCGTTGCACCTCCGTCCGCACCTGCGTTGGCCATCTTTGCTCTGTCTCTTTTACTCTTTGGATCTAGCGTGGTGTGTGTGGGTGATTAGAGAGTTTGGGTGTCTTAAATGTTGCTCCCTCCATCTTCCTCCAGCTGCCAACGTGATCAGAAAGTGGAGAGGTTGAATATCTTCCTCGTTTTTGCTCTGTTTTGTGGCCGACGGAGGTGCATATACGGATTGGAGCTCTTATCTTCTCCTTCTTCGACGCAGGTGAGTGGCTGATTTATATTTGTTGCCACTGAGCTTTGTTGAGGTGAGATGCTGTTATCTTTCCTTCCTTTTTGGATTATACAGCACCACCGAATCATTCCCTCCTTTCTCCAGCCGACCGATGCAGCCCCTGTTCCTTATGGTTGTTGTGCTATTTTAGTTAGGATTAAGGTGATGTTTTGGTTGATGCTGGAAATTGTTTTATGGTGATGTTGAGCTAAAATATAATTATGGAATTAAATGTTGAGAGTTGTGGAAATTTATTGGGTGTGTTTGTTTCATAACTTAATTATTGGAGAATGCCTTAAGTGTTTGTGGACATGTTTGAAAGAAGATATTAATGGAAAGAATGTTATTAAATTGGCATAATATAACTCAAAATAAAATATGTAAGTAGTGGCTTAAGTTATTGGTTGAAATATTTATTTAAAGGTCAATTAGGATACATATAAGGGGATGTTAAAATATTTAAAAGAGCAATTTGGTTGAATTAAAGTGGTTAATTTTTATATAAAAGTTTAGTGAAATATGTGTGATTGTTTGCATCTGTATGTAATGTGATTCTAAGCTTGAAACATATAAGAGAAGCATTTGGTAGAACGTAAGTTGTTTAATTTTTTTTAACATTAATTAGTTTTGAAGGAACATGAGTAAACAGTTATTTAAGTTATTAAATTGGAAGCCTAAAATATCTAAGGTAGATTATACTAAAGTAAACGATGGTTGTGATTGAATGTTACATAGTATTGTTGACTACTTGATAGTAGTTGTTGAAGGGTTTAATGAGAATTTAAGGAGTTAATAAGAAATTTAAAGAATATGTAAAGAGCTTGAATGTTAATTTCTCTTGTTTATATTAAGAAGGGAAATCATAATGACATAAAATGTGTTGGTTTACATGTTAATTAAATTAATTTGGGGCATCATTGAAGTAAACAAAAATTGAGGGAATCTAACTATAAGATTTTTGAAAACTTAGGTGAGTGGGTAGCGTTTCAAATAAGTTCTAAAAAAATATTTAAGAAATTTCTTTATTTAAGTTTAATATTGTTATTCTATAAACTGTATAAACATTCTTGCAAATTATATTTTATAACAATTGTTTTATAAATGACAATTTCTTGATTTTCCCTATAATTTATATTATTGCTAAGCATTGATTGAAGTTGATACATGGCAAACAATATTACTTTTCAAAAGTAACTTATTTACTAAATTCTATGTTTGATACAAATAAAGATTTGTGCATCGAGGACAAGAACATGAATATAAGAAATGAAAATGGATAATTGAATAGTATAATTGAAAGAGAAAAATTTTGAAATTTCATTCTTGTTCCATGCATGCTCAATTTTAATTAGGGGGATTGAGTTCAAAATGTTAGATGCTAATAACAGTTTGGTTAGCTTTTGACGCGCCATGATACATCTAGCTAGCAAGATGCTTATAGAAAATGCTAGCATCGCCAACTAACATAAAATGGAAGATAATATTAGGTAGTCCTCATAGGTTAAGGTTTCTAATGCAATTAATTAATTAAAATAATATTTTGCTTTAATTGAATTAATTAAGGTCCTTAGTAGTTGGAAGATACTTTGGATTAATTTAGAAAATAGTTAATGCTGAAATGAGAGGGTTAGGAAGCAAATAGAAGATTAGAACTCTAGAACACTCTTCTCTTCATTAACTTTAGCTTGTTTGTGAATTGAAAGTTATTTTAATTGATCATTTTTAATATTTTCATTTTAATTGTTCCAAAATCAATCTCAAGTTTTATTAGCTTAACGTGAATGAATTTGAAAATTTAACGCCTACTTGCCATTTTAATTAATTCTCTAAGGGATTGACTTTGATTTGCCACTAGCTTCAAGTGCAACTTGTATACTTGTGGTGTCTTTTAATTTTTGTGGGCATCAAGTTTTTGGTGCCATTTTCAAGGAATTAAGGCAATTGGTGATTAGCATTAACGGACCTTTAATAGTTTTTGCTTAAGCATTTATTTTGTTATTTTATTTTCTTTTGTTTTGTTCAGTTAGATTCTTGATCTTTTTCTTATTCTTGTAAGACTATTTTGCATGCCATGCAAGGCTAAGTAAAAAAAAAAAAGACAACTGTGAGAACAAGTAGTTGTTGGATAGGATGGCACCCAAAAGATGGTAAATTGAGTGATACTTAATTTTTCTAGAGAAATTAGAAGTGAAGAAGATTGGTGCACAAAATGAAGAGATTTGACATAAGTAATTTATCTTGGTTTAGCCTAACCCATAGCCTACGTCTAGTCCTCAATATCACACTTGAGATTTTTAACTAAACTTACAAGTTTCAATGGGTGCTTGCTACCACAGTACAACTCCCAAGACTTTACTTGTCTTGATTCAAAATTAAACATTGCTACAACCAGCAAGTTGTTACAAATTACTTGAAAAATACCTTTTTAAGATTTTAGCTAAAGAATAAAACTTTCACAAAAAAACTCTCTTAAAGAGTAGACAAATTACAATTGAAAGTTTAGAAACTTGTGAGAGTTTTTTTAACAAACTTTATCAAGAATCATAAATGAATTCTAAACTTTAATGCACAATTAAAATCTTTTAGAATTCTCAAAAGATGAATAGTTCACTCTGGGATCAAAAATTCTTATTCTAAACTTGAATTGTATCACATATATGGCTTTAGTAGTTGATAGACTGTTGGAACAATATTTCTAGCCATTAGTAACATTTCTTATATGCAATAGATGTTTCATGTGTGGAATGGAGCTATCCAAGCTCCAGACATGCATATGTGACAATTCAAGCATGAATACTAGGGTTACTCATGCATGTTTTGGAGGATATAAAAATGCAAATCATTTTGTGTGACAAAACAAGCGTGCGACCCTCAGCTTCTCACGCTTGAATTAACTAGCCAAATGCCAAGCTTGATTCTGTGTGACTAATCACGTGCGAGACTAACCTTATATCACACGTGGAATGGCTGATTCTAAAACCCAGTCCATTTAGCAAGACAGATCACGTGTAAAATACTTTATTACACATGCGTGAAATGGCTAGTTATAAAACTAAGCCATTCTAGAAGACAAATCATGTATGGAACTAATGTGCTTTTAAGCAAGAATTGCATGATTGGAAAGACTTAGAATGAAGAGTAACAAATCACATAATTTTTCAATATGAACCAAGCTTGAAATGATTTAAGACTTACTTGGACAAAATGTGTTCAAGAGACTTAGTGACAAATCACACATGGATGCCTTCTCATTCAAACATGAAATGGCACTTCACATTATGCAAGGGAACACAAGGTGACAATTCAAGTGTGCATACTCAAGGGTAGCTTACATAAATTGGAGCACATAAGCTATGTCAAGGCATTACACAAACACAAGTGATAAATCAGACGTGGCTTACTTCTAATTCAAGTGTGAAACGTCAGTCAATATGCCTAAGATGACAAATCACGCGTGGGACCATGCTGAATCACGAGTGAATCATCAGACAATGAAAAGCTCAAATTTTATGATCCAACTTAAGCTAAAATGACATAACTTACAAGCTTGAATATACTAAGATGAATTCTAAGATGCACAAAATGAGACTTATAAGTTAAGAATTATGCATTCATTTCA